CTTTACACGTGCTTTAAACTTGTGGCTTGCAGGGCGAAGGTGGGGACCCCAGACGCTGAGATGATGCAATAAGCAGGATCGCACGAAGCAGAAGATGTACAGGTGCACTCGTTACTGGCACCAAGAGACCTTCGGATCGAGATTTAAAGCCCGGGTCGATGGTGGTGACATATCTTGTCTTATTCTTGCAGTTCACGAAACCCCTTCCCATGTTGCCCTCTTGAGGTAAACTCTGCACTCGAGGTTCAGGGTTTAAGAGGTATCTAGGTTTATAAGCGGGGTAGGGAGAGAGATGCCGGACACCGGACCTGGAAACCACACCCCAAACCCCATATTCAAAGTACACTGCCTTTCTTGAATTTTCATCTGGATTTCTTCAATTGTCATGTGGAGTTCAACAGTAAGGCCTTGACGGGCTCCGAGTGCCCAATGTCAGCTAAGGGCTGGTTGAGCCCCGGTTTTGAGACGGCTCGCTTCAAGGGCTGCATGTTTCCGGATCCGCGTCTAGGGACGTGTGCCATGGAACCTCATGCTTTCTTCGCAAAATTCCGAAGGAAGAGCACCTTCAGGGGTCTTGGATATATATTAGATTCTTAAACACCCTAAAGACTCTCGTGAACGCTAGACCCCAATAACCCTCACCCCCCCCCTCCGAAAAAAAAATCTAAAGCCTAAATCCCGCTTTGGGATGACGAGGACATGGACCACGAGGTCGCCTGGAACTGGTTCTGGGAGTCTCGGGCAGCACAGAACAGAGGTTCCTTTAGGGGGTTTGGGGATTAGTTCAAACGGGCTTAGGGGTTTAGGGTTTAGGGGCGAATGCCTGGGAGAGGGAGAGAGAGAGAGAGAGAGAAAGAGAGAGAGAGAGAGAGGGTTTAGGAGCAGTTGCGAAAAAGGGTTTAGGGGTTCATGGAAGGAGTGGGTCGCAGGGGGCGGCGGATTTTGGGATTTATAAGGTGATGGTTCCTTTTAACGGTTCCAACAACGGCTATATGGGAGCTTTATAGAATATTTGTTGTTGTTGCTTAGGGCTTTATGCCTTCCGTGCTCTTACGGTCTTAGGATTTGAGCCTGGGTTCAAGAAGGACCGAAGGTGTTTTAGGGTTCCAAGGCTTTACGGCCTTTGGGGTTTAGGCTCTATAGGGCGTTCGGGTTTCAGGCTTCAAATTGAGTGTACCCAGAGCCTCCAAAACCCCTTAATTAAGGAATATACTTTAAATCATATTAGGCATCCCTAATATGATTTAAGGTGTATTCCTTAATTAAGGGGTTTTGGAGGCTCTGGGTAGAGCTTGGGTGCTTGCCGGCTTCAAGGGCTTGTGGCGCCTGGGGTGTCGGTTTTAGGGCTTAATTCTTGAGGCCTAAATGATTGCCTATACTGTTTTGGGGGGGGGTTCCTTATTATGAGTATAGTAGAATGGGCCCCCCAAACCCTATTCTAATTATTGAGGCCCCTATATTAGGGCTTTAGGGTTCAAGGCTTTTGGGATTCAGAGTTGGGCTTGCCTGCAGGGGTCGGAAGAAGTACCAGCAGTCATTAGCCCCCTTATGGTCCCCAATATGCCTCCAGGGCCTACACCCTAAGGCCCCAAAGTAGTTCCTTTTGGGGGTTCATATCTAGAATCCTATAAGGTAATCCCAAAAAGGAACTACTATGCGGCCCTAGGGCAGTATACACCTCAAAAAAGCTGCTATTCTGTTCAAAGGTTTAAGACGCTAAGGCCTTAATACTAGGATTGGGGCTTCAGAGGGCTTCCTATAGTCTCCATTGTAGTTCCTTTTGTTGGTTAACCTTTTTTATGGTTAGGACCCTATAGTAGAGATTTTGGTTAACAAAAAAAGGAACTACAATGGAGACTATAGGTAGGATCCTTCAGAGGCTCCATAGTAGTTCTTTTTTGGGATTACCTTATAGCATTCTATATATGAACCCCCAAAAAGGAACTACTTTGGGGCCTTAGGGCAGGGGGCCTAGGATCCTTCAAGGACGATGTTGGCGTCGGCTGCGAGTCCGAAAATGCCCGAAACAGCCAAGACCCTGCAACCCACGCGTTGAAGACCCCACGCACACACCGTTTCCTAATACGAATAACACTAATCTTATCATAATTACAATAATAATGATATTCATATTAATAATACTAGTAGTTATGTATTGTAGGGCAAAACTCAAGGACCCCAAAACCCTACTCCCAAAGCCCTATTATAGGGCCTATAAGCCCCAAGCCCAAAACAACTGTAAACCCAACAATCCTTAAGCCTAAACTTTCCCACATGCCTCGCCTGGATTGTCCGAGTGTGAGCGCCGAAACTTTCCCAGACCCAGGACAGAACCAGCTTTTTAGAAACCCGAAAGTCAAAGTCGCCAAGGAAAACATGGAAAGGATGCTCAAGAAGATGATTGGTGTCCCCCAGGCGCTATCGCCTCATGTTGCTTCTGCTCACACTCAGGTTTCTGGCCCCGACTTGGGCCCTACTCAAGGGCATAATTAAATGATTACCAATACTATTTTGGTGGTATCTTATCATAATTCTAGTGGGCCCCAAACCCAGTTCTAAGTTCTAAGGACCGGCCCCTATATAACCCTAGACCGATCGAACCTTAGCCTATTTTAGACCCTAAACCATCGGCCCAAGGAGCTGTAAGGTCGTACTTGATACCTCGTCAGAGTCAGGCTTGTCCCACAAGCCAGTTGTGAGTGCTGCAATCCTCGACCCCAGAAGCCGTCGTGCAATCCCTAATCCCATCTCCTCCACATCGATCCTAATACAGGACGATTTGCAGTCTACGGCTTTGGTAACTCGAGCCTGCACGTGGCCTCCCGGGAAAGTTGTGAGTTTGTGTTTGAGCCGTTCACCTGGGGACATTTTTCTGAAGAAATACACAAAGAGCATCATGCGACATAGAACTCCCATGAAGACCCTTACAAAAGCACTGGACCTCACATTTTACCCACTTACAACAACGTCAGAGTATTCTGGTGCCTTCGGGAGGACCTCACTGAAAGCCGCCTGCGATCCTAACCCCACAAGGAACATAAGGCTTATATATGGATGAGGGTTGAGGGATTGGGGATCAGCTGCCCGTATAGCCTGGATAGGTGACAGACCCTTCATGTGCTAAGTATATGTATATATATATATATATATATGTATAAATAAATAAACATATATATATATATACACAACATATAAACTCTAAACCATGCGTAGACGCTAAAATGTAAACCATCAGCCCTATATAGCCACGACTCTGCTCTGAAAACTGAGACTCCATTCCACATATTCTGTCCCTTCGACGCAAGCCTGGAAGGGTTCCGTTAAAGTCCGTATACAAGTATACGGAATACGATAGTCAACAATATAGTATATACCCGTGTAGGGTCCACAGGGGTACAGTATTACAGATGCCGCCAGAACTACGCCAAAGTGCTGAAGAAGCTGCTGAGCAGCCTCGATGAGGAGCCTTTCAGAGTGCCCTGAGCAATTCACGGTTTAGGGTTTAGGAGTTTAGGGTTTTCGGTGGCTTTGCCATACCTCAAGCGAACTGTAGCAGGGAAGCTTCAGCAAAGAAAACGGTTACCGATTCTTATTCCTAAACCGGCCTCCAGGTGTGAAGGTTTCCGGTCCTCTGTTCAGGTTTTAGTGATGTGTTTTCTGTTTTTGGTTTCGTGTGCAGAGATGGCACTGAACTCTCTAAGCTCCACAGCAACTTCAAGGCGGATTTCCATCAGGGTTCAGCAATTAAAGGCTATTGCGATGCACTTGCGTGTTGTTGTGTCCAGTTGCTGTGCCAACACTACAAGCAACGCGAATGGTTGAGATTGCAAGATGGCCATGGAATGTAGTCCCATAATTTCAGCGGCACGGAATTTTGTTGAGACGGCGTGCGCCGGCAGCTGAACAGTAGCTAGATAGTCCTGTCGGGCATGTTTGTCACCTTTACACACGTTTGCTGCAGCAGCATTTCTGCACAAAAATGCTCATTTTTCGTGTGGAATATTGTGTTGTCAAAGTTCTGTTTAGAAAAGGTAGTAGAAACTGCGTTAGCTATGGATCGTGTGAGGGGAACCATTAGGGATAGGAAACTTAAGAATGCTGGATGGGTAGCTACCCGACCTCTTTACATTCTCTTCAGGAATACTAGATACGATGTAATCCCCCTGACACCATAAGCCTTCAACACACGTTAGCTTTCAGCATTCTGTGTCTATGACAGTTTGCTACCAACCTTGGGTTTCCATATAGGGAGGCGGCTGAGGTAGGTCTTCTTTCAGGTGCTAGAGTGAACAGCTCGAATCCTATGAGAAGGCGGTGGAGCTTTTCGTTTGTAACGCCAAGCTTTTGCAACCCTAGAAGGGGTTCAGTTCAGCCGTCGGGGCTCAGGATTTCGGATGTTGGCCGTGGGATTTAGCAAGACCTTATCGTCAGTCGGTAGCTGCCAACAGCTGTAGAGTTGCTCTGGGCATTCCGGAGCGTCGGCCTCGAAGGGACCCTAATTTACACCCTATGAAAATAAACAGGATCCCCATCCTGAGGACCTTTGCACAAGAAGAATTACTTCTCCTAAACACATAATGGGATCCTCATTCTGAGACCTTGTACCCTCACCCGAACCTCCAACCGTACAAAGAACCCTAACACCGCTCTTTGTGGCGTTTCGAAGCATGCATGCATCGGCAGCGGGGCCTCGTGCACCCACTGTCAGCAGAAGCGGTGTCTTCGTCTCCCGCGTCGGGCCTGGAGCTCATGCCTTTCGATTTGGCTTCCTGCTCCTGGGCACCGTCTTCCTAATGTTGAGCGCCGTCATGCTCTGGCACGATGGATGGAGCTCTTTGGAGTACCTGATGGACGAAATTATACCTCTGAAAGGTTTGAAGGTTCATATACCATATGGGGATCTCTAGTATAAGTCAAGAGAGGCCCTTGCTTTCATGGGTTATTATATCTGGTCCCTGAGGTATGTCAGCTTCTTGGATCTCAATGCTGTGGCATTCATCATGATCGGTCTTGGGTTCGGCGCACCCAGCCGTTTGACGCTGTTTCAGTACGGTGAAGACTGGCAAGTGGAACTCCGTCGGAGGTTCCGCTCTGCCAAGACTTTCCCTCTGGCAAGTCTGTCTGGTCTTCTGGAGGCAGGCAGAGGTTCTGGGCTCAAAATGCTTGGAGGTGCGGGTGGGTTAGAGGAACTAGGCTAAAACCAGGCGTCTTGCTTTGTGAGAGGTGCGCGATCGAGCTTTCAGCGCTGGAACGAAAGTCGGATACTCTACAGGGACACCTTCCTGGGAGTTGACATTCCCTGGGGAGCTTTGGATCATCACCCTCCAAGATCACTTGGGATTCCTCGATTACGTGGCCAAGGCCTGTGAAAGCTCAGGTCATCGGTTGACGCAGAACTTGAAGCACCAGCTGAGCTTGGTAAGACGCGGGGTTCCACTGTAATATAGGAGGCTCAAAAATTTGAGCAGGGTTTTGGGGCCCGTCATGCTATACATTTAAGCAGGAACCCTCAAAATAGTAATTATGGTAAGGCCCCTATATTAGGCGAACTGGCGTGTTGTTTTCAAGGAGGACGAAGCCGAATGGCACATTGCCAACTAGCGAATAGCCTAGCCTGAATCATGCGAAACCCTCCTCCGACATCCGACTGTCGTTGTCTCCGAGGGCGACAAGGCCAGCCTCATTCAGGGAGGGAGTCGGCGGTCTACATGATCAGGGCTCTTGTATCGAGGCTATCGGTCTATGCCGGTCAACAGCTCAAAACTCGTTCGTGCAATCAACAGGTATATGGGTTACGTAAACAACAAATAACTCAATCGTTTTTCCTAGTTATGTATGCAGTGCAATCTATGCATGAGGGAACCCGAGACCCCAAAACCCTTTGCAATTGCTAAGACACGCCTTTACTCTCAATACAGAACACAGAGAGAGACAGAGAGAGAGAGAGAGTGAGAGTGAGGTGATGTGAAAGCCCAACAGCTGCTCAAGCGACCCTTAGCCGCCCCACTTCCCAAAGTGCACTCGACTGGGACGGTTCCAAGCAGAGCTGGACGCACGCCAAAGAATGTCCGATGCAAAAACGCGCACGGTTTGTGGGGTTTGGGGGTCTAGGGGTCATATAGGGTTCATTATTGCGCAGGTTAAAAACCATTTGGGCGCTTGATCCTCAGTCCTTAAAAAAAGGACAGCAGCTCCTCCCTGTACAACACGATGTGAAGATCTGCAGCCAGAAGGCAACCCCCAACCTATCTCCCTAGTGTGAGCCCTGCCGAGTTTTTCCAAGGCTTTGGGACTTTGCGGTTCTTGAGGGGTGGGATATAGGCCGGACGCTTCAGGGTTCGAGGTTTGTGCCGTGATGTTTCCACATGCTTCCGAGACGTGCTGAGCCGCCTAAACTCCCCTAAACTTCGCACCCAAAACACAGACTTTTCATTTTCCTTAAACCATCGAACCCCACTCCCATACAGTATGCTCTTTACAAACCGGATTTCTAAACCTAAACACTACACAGAATCTCAAAGCTCATTGAGGTCTTGCCGGAGAGGTGCGCAAGTAGCCAATAATCATATACTCCCCGAAAACTGACCTTCATTGCCGCGATACAATCATTTATCCAGGTCGCCTAGACCCTAAACCCTACATGGGAGTTTCCGAAAATAGGGACCCCAATATAGTACCCCAAATGGTAGGATCCTTGTTATGAGGACCAAACTAAGGTACCCTGTTTTCCGGAAACTCCCACATATAGGATCAGTAAGCTTAAGCAGGAGAAGATCCAACGGACCCGTCAAGACGTGTTCAGCCGCTTCTTTGAGCTCGCGCCGACTGCCGAGAGCTTCATGAAGCCTCCTGGCCTTCCTCAGTAGAAAAGGAGACCCCTTAAGGGGTTAGGGTTTAGGGTTTGGGGTAGAGGGTTTAGCGTAGGCTTCCTAAGCATTATAGAGCAGACCCCTTAACGGGGACCCTTTTTAACCCTACTTCTGGCTCTCTTAACAGTCACCTTATTGAGAGGGCTTAGGGTTTCAATATGCGTTTCGCAAGGATGGTTGAGGGTTTTGTGCAGGGCTTGGAGGTTTGAAGGTTGGGGTTTAGGGTTGAGGATTTTCGGGCTTCGCCTGCGGCTCCATGTACCTGCTGCTGTTTAGGTTACATATAACTCGAGCTATATATTGTGTTGCAGTTGCTACTTGTAGTCGAATTGTTATGTTGACCTTCGCTTTATATATGCCATACGAATAAAATGGGTACGTGGACGCTTTGAGTATGTACCCTGCTAGACTTGGTTTGGGATACACCGGCATTTCATGTAGACTCCAGCTTCGTGCTGAATGTTTCTTGGTACATGCAGGAGTTGGCCTCGCGCTGGGACCCGCATCGGTATGCCCTGCCGAAACCCGAACCGTCAGTCAGCCTTGAAATCAAGACCAGGATGTGTGTCATCAGGATTACAACAATGTGCAAGGGTTCGGGAAGTTATTTGTTCTTGAGCTCAGGTCATTGTGAGGAAGCTGTCACCAGCACCACTTCGAACCTAAGCCAACCCCACACCCCAAGCCCGAAAGCCGGTTCGCTCTTACGCCTGCTTGCGCTAAGTTACCTATGTACCACACCTGCATTCCTTGTCGTCTGCTTCATTACTCCCATGTGATCTCTCCCATTTGCAGTAAATGCCTTCTGGAGACATTCGAACGCACTCTACCAAGTCTAGCTGTGGGTATCGCAACATAGCAACTTTGTGCACCTAACAATGCCGTTCTTCATGTGATGTTTTGACGATGTTGAATACATAATAGTGCAGATGCATAGGCTGAGAACGTACACATGCATCAGGACGGGTGCGCATGTGAAACAAAAGTTGCTACTGCCCAGGCAGTCCTCCACGCGAATGTTTCTCGGCAGAGTTTTGCCGCCTTTGATTGCTCTAGGTCTCTGCGTCGTACATAGTTGGTCAACCCTTCTGCAAACTATATTTCCAGCCTGTCCGGATTTCTCAGACACCCAGTGCCTGGGATCCTGTAGTCTCTAGACTCTAGACCTTAGAAGGCGGCAGGCAAAACAGCAAACTAGTACACCCTGAGCCAGCTGGGCCTCAGGCCTTTACCTCCCCCTGAATAACTTTGCAACTGCAGAACCCAGCGAATCTTAAAGCGGCACCAATGCAGGACATAGTCCCAGGGCCAGAAACTCCTCTGTTGTAGTGGGACTTACAATCTTTCGAGGCAGGCCATGAGCCCTCGCAAGCTGTCTTCAGGTCCCAAGCCCACAAAGCTAGAGAAAATTCATAGTTTCATGCACCTTCCTGGATCAAGAAGTATTAGATAGAAAAGCGCAGAAGATACTTGCAAACTTCCTTTCGCAGCATACTGGAGCCGTTTTTCGAGCGCCAGAGATGCTCTTCGGTGTTAGGCGAGGTAGGGTTTAGGGGTTTAGGGTTCACTTCATCTTGACCCTAAGGGGTTTAGGGTTTAGGGGTTAGAGATCGGTGCAAAACACTATAAGACTTGCTAGCTGTTTGGAACCGGTGCTTGGGCGCTATGTTTTCCATCTCGAGAGCAGAGCGTCTCAACATTGTGCTTTAGTCTTTAGTCATCGGCATTCGGAACTTGTTACAGCCAAGCTCAACAGCATGATGCCATGTAGTGTGCGAGGCCTTTGTTTAGGACTTTCACGACGAGCCGAGGATGTGGATGCAGAGCCTCTTTATTTGGGGTTCAAGTCCTAAGTGTGAACGATGTTTCTGCTTGCGGCATAACCCCAGGTGCTTTTATGCATCCGCTGTACAGCAATTACTCGAAGTTGTCCGTGCTGGTTGTTGAGGGGATTACTGCGCCTACTTGTTGCTTCTTGTTTCGAGTGCGGGGGGTGGGGACTGATGACCCTTTCAAGATACACTATATTAGCGCCCCCATGGGGTTGTTTCACGAAACAGTCCACTTTGGCGCTCCCGGCTCATCAAGAATCATAGTCATAGCCGTAACAAGGTGGCACTTACCATAGGCCAACATAAACCTAAAACCCTAAACCCTAAACCCCTTGGTGTCTCGCCGTCCCTACGATGCTGCACCCAAGACTTGCGCCTGAGGTATTACATCGCAGATAAGATCATGGCACCCTGGCACCGGTTTTAGGCTTTAGGGTTTAGGGTTTAGGCTTTAGGGTTTGGGGTTTAGGGTTTGGGGTTTGGGGTTTAGGGAGTGGAATGGATTTCTTGGGAGGTTTGAGCTAAGGATCGCAGGGGCTGCAAGCTAATTCGTTGAACCATCCTGGCAGTCTGGGCACGAGCTTGAGGATCACGCGAACATGCCCGGTAACCATAAACCAAAAGCTTACACCGAAAATTGTCATGGCTCTGCCGGTTCGATTAGCAGCGTTTCTAATATTCTAAACCGTTTACTTTCAACCCTAGCAAGACGCTTACAAGCAATTCCTGCTTCTGGTTATCGTATTTCCGGATCCTCCTACCAGACACTATGTATTAACACATGAGCACAGCAGAGTTTCGGGTTTAAGGGTTGGTCATCCTAGAACCCACAAGCCTGAAGCACTCCATCGAACGGAATCGAAGCAGCACCCCGTAAGCACGAGAGAGCGAATTTCCAATAAACCCTTTACATTGACACAGGTGTTGAGCTAAACAACCCGACGACCCCTCACCCCCGGCTGTTACTGGCTCAAAGGCGGCTCTGCTGGTTGGGTTTGTTCTTCAGGAGATGACGATGGACATCTACGAGAGCACACGCCACGTTGTAGACGACATCTCAGGTCTAGGCATGCAGCTTCAGGATTTTCCTCACCCCCACGGCACCGTAGCATCCATTTAAGCCACGAAGGGGATCCTGAATTTCTGCATCGGGGGCCCGGACTTACAACTTTTTCAGCCCAAGATTCTCCAAATCTAACTGCCTCGGCCCCAGAATGTACTTCAGAAGGAAAGTTCCGATCCCACCAGAGTCTTCGACTTCACAAAGGGCCCCAAAGCCGCCGAACTCCACCCTGCAGACTTCTGCGTTCAACCCGAACTCCACGCGCCAAGAAGTCTGAACCCTATATGAAACCCCCGGCTCTTCACCCCTAGACTTCTGGACCCCTACCCTGCATCCCTGGACGCCCCATGGCCCGGAGATCTTGGCTTTCTGATGTCATGGAAGTTATGCTTAAGCCCCCTCGTCCCGCACTTCAGTAACTGCCCACATACGGACGAAAAAGTTACACTGTCGGTCCACCCCATAAATCAACCCCAGCGGACACATCAACAAGCCTGAAGTTCATGGGACGCGTGGATACAGCATGATAGAAGTGTTTCTATTGCTATTTATTTAGTACCCATACCATTATATAATCGTCTTACTACGAGTAAAAATGGAGTCTTGGGATCCCAGACTGGCTTGGAAGAGAACTGGGGTTGAGTGCATTTACTTCTGCTAGGACGGGAAGGGCAGACA